AGATAAAAAGAATGGCGCGCCAAGTGTGCGTGCTCTTCTCAGAAAAAAACCATTACATAAGTTATTATACGCGCTTGTACGTGTGTTCTATGAAAAAAAAATAACTTCCTATTCCGAACTTATTCTAAACCTATTTTCCAAACTATTAAAGTAGATAATAATAATTAATATTAAGGTTTTTTTTATAAAACAAGCAATAATAGTTGGTTATAAAAAGAAAATCATTTTCATCAATAACAACAATGAAAAAACGCAATTATTAAAATTTAACCCCCTTAAACCTGTTATTGGTCCTAATAAATCCCTTATCAGCATCGATATCGAATATTGAAAAATTCAACGTTGATCCAATAAATCTACTAAATCAAACAAATAATAAATGGTTTCTCAATTTGACAAACAAAAATATTCTTCCGACTGTTACTAATCTGTTGCAAATGAGTAGTAAATTTAATCTTCCTGACTCTTATAATAAGATACATACAATTAGAGAATCCATAAAAGACATTGAAAGCTGTTCATTTCGAAACAAAAAATTTACTATCTGACTAAACTTAGGAACATAGCCATTCCTGAATTTCACCGCTTTCTCCACAATAAGATAACAAACGTATATCTCCGAAAAGAAAATTAACAATAATGTTAAGCGTACGACACAATGGTATAAGGAAAATGAGGAAGTAGTTTTTACACGTGCTGATAAAGATAACGTGACTGTAACCATGAAATTATCTCTTTACTATTATCACAAAGTAAACGAACTCTTGAATGACAATGACACTTATTCCGTAGTAAATAAAAATCCGACACCAACAATAGAAAAACAATTAAATAATATGTTAAAAAAATGGCACAGTAAAGATTTCATCTCGGATAATGAATATTTTAATCTCCGATCTAGTGACTCTAACTTGCCAAAAACCTATGGATTATCTAAGTTACACAAAGATGGTATCCCGTTTAGGATTATTGTATCTTCCATAAATATGGCCCTACACCCTATATATAGCAAAATTCCTACATAACATTATTTCTAAAAGTATCCCACTGCAAAAAGTCAGATAAAGAATAGTTTCAAACTTTACAAATCTTTTGAAGTAAGGAAACGATTTACTAAAAATTTAAAATATGTTAAATTTGAATGTATAAAGAGATTAAAATAATAAATTTTTCAAATCGTAAAAAGATTTCAGTTTCTATGGATATGAAGCCTATTTTAAAGGTGGCATATATACATCATTACTGAAATAAAATACTACTATATTGAATCATCAATAAAAATTATTGAGATATACAATAATATGCATAACAATAATCTCAATCTAAGGTCGCCACGTATTAAATGAGCTCAGAATGGTAAAAAAAGGAACAGCTGGCAAATTTATTAAATCCATCTGTAAAAGTCTTCTGCAATTAATACTACTCACACAAATGTCAGCGGACTTCGGCAAAATATTACATCTTGCGTTTATTGCATATGCGATTGTTACATTGAGATCTGTTTTGCAAGTGTTAACATTTATTTGCCTACGATGTGTGTGTGTGTAATGGCGATGTTGTCACTATTGTCACTAGGAGATACCGAAAACGACGTAAGATGCCGTATTATTCTTTTATAAACCACAATCGTTTCTTATCGCTTTAGGTACTCAAGCATTGTAATTGTAGAATTCCTTAGAAAAATAATTCCTGTTGCAAAATTATCATTGCTAAGTACTGCATATTTGTATTGGCAGCAATCAAATTTAGTTGATAGAACTAATTCTAAAAATTATTCGTTATTAAAGCAGAATCTGTTGCGTTATTAAAAAAATTTACTGGATATATATATTTTTATAAAAATTATGTTAATTTATTAAAGCAAAATAATATATCTTTTGCAAATACTTTTTCTATTGAAGCAAAATCACTTACTGCTCACATAAATTCCATGATGACAAAAGAAATTTGTTGTAGTAATCAATTTATCTTATTATAGCAAAACTTGATTTGTTAGGAAACAGATTTGCTTTGCGCGCGCGCGGAGGGATCCTAAAGCCATCTGTATTACCGACTAACCATATAATTTTTGTATAACAATTACTTTTTTCTCTTTTCTAGGTTTTTAAAAGGATTCGAAACTCCTTTTCCATGATTAAAGTATATGCATTAATGCGTGTCTGAGATTTATGCTGAGAATGTAAAAAAATTTCAAAATTAAGATCTTTTTTATCGTTTTTTAGTCCAATATGGCGTTCTAGAGCTGTCACATAAAAGCTGTGCAATTTATAATTACGAAATAATAATCTACACACTAGTTTGCACAAAGAAACAACGTGGAGTTCTTAGAATTGGACTTATAATTAATAGACGTATAATTAAAATGTTACAGTTATACGAATATTTATGTGTATTATGTGTGCATGAGATGTACTACATACTATTCTGTATATGGTGATGTGTCAGTGACACATAAATCGTCTGTGTGTAAGTCCTACTTATACTATGACTAATCGTCTTTAGGGTCCCCGCCTTAACAGATAACATGTTTTCTCGTAAGAAAGATTCGACACTAATCTGTATAAAGCGGGGATGATTAGACCAATTAGACCTATTTCATGCACCTATAAATGGATAAAGATGTGTATTATACTTTTTTCGATTGCTCGCCTTGATGATATACAATATACCCTTGTATCCAGTATCATCCAGGCGCGGCAACATGTTTGATTATGACACAAACTAATGATAATGCTGAAAATTATTTATTTTATTCAATATTCTTTATGTTATTTATTTACGTTATTTATTTACTTATTGAATTTAATTCTTTTATATTTTTATTACATTCACTGACTCTTCCCTGCATTGTAATGCATTGTTATCATACTAACATCCTAATTTATTTATTTACCTTTTTTGTATTTATCTATTTATGTATTATATTATTCCCACTTTATTTCCAGCCTTATTTTCTTCTTAGTAAGTTATAGCATAATAAGTTGTACATTTTATGGAGCTCTTGTTTCTCACAAATTTTTTTTCAAGTTTTTTCGTTTCTGCTCTATTCTGGATACAAAAGTTGTGTATTCAATAATTTTTACTTCTTAGTTTATTAATTTTATGTGTCATGCAGGTAATAGACGAGTCTCTTTGCACTGCAAAGCAATATTATATTGGATCATTAAAAAAAGTTGTTTCATGCACTTTTTGCCACATTGTGCATGGCAACAGCCATCCTTGTCGGGCGATCATCAAATATCAATCTATCTATATCTACTCTTGTCAGGCCAAAAGAATGATAAGTTCACTATTAGATATTTAGAGACTACACATTATACTGACGTTAGTCAGATGTGACGTATCACGGATCATAAAAACATGTTTAATTGTATTTTGCTCATGTAACTAAATTGTTTCGCTAATGCAGCAAAAAAGCTTGATAATTAGATAAAAATTTATTCATTCTTACAATAAAATAATTTGTACAATTATAGTTTTAGTAATATTATATCTAGCAAATAGCAATTAGCACTCGTAATAAATCTCTCTGCTATTCACATAATAATTTACAGATTTTGCTAGAATAGAGTAAGATCTGTACTAGAATAAAATTATGACATAAAATACTATGTTATAACTTTGCTAGTATAGCAAATCAAATATAGAAAAATGGAATTGAAGTTTCATTAATGTAGAAATTTAAATATATTCTGGTACACATTATAATTTTTATCTAAAGAGGAGTATAGAGAAGAATACCAAGGTCTTTACTTAAATTGTCCATGTTATAAGATAACATTAATGACGATATAAAATTTACAAAAATATAATTTAATTATCGTAAAATATATTTTTAATTAAAATATATTTTTAACTCATTTTAAGAATCATCGATAAATTAACGGATGTCATGATACAAATTATGTTACGGTAATTACAATATGTATCTCGTTCGAGGAAGTTACGCAAGTCAATGTCAAGACGACCAAAGCGCAAATAAGACCGGAAAGAATTTAAAAGTCATACGATAAGTTTGTAGCACGGAATCAATCGAAGCGTGAAGTTTTATTGAAATCTCACACCGATTACTAATTAGCCTTTCACTTTGGTTGGATTCAACAAACAGATGTTTCAGATTAAATATTTACATGTATGACATATTATAAATTCTATTTGCTATATATAACAAACGTATGATATAAAAATGCAATCGCATCTGATATTTCTGAGCATCTATATTGTTGATTGATTTAAGCACGGAGAGATATTTTTATTTTAATCAAACTGAAATAATTAAATTTGTTAACATAATTGTTTAAACAAAAACAATAAATATAAAATTATACATAACCTTTTAAACTAATTAATTGCTCAAAAATTATTGAATCGCTTTATAATCCAATTAACATACGATTTCTATAGATTTAATATGAAAGAGAAGATATAAACAAATCATGAAATAAATTCTAAATCTAAAAAAGATATGGCGATTGCTATTACGAATATACATATACAATTTATTTCAACCATGTTTTCTTTTGCTCTCTTTTCTTTGATAACCGAATGCATTTCGTTTTTCTTTTTCTCTCAATCAAACATTTTTACAACATTATGATAAATTACGATCTTATCATTAATGTCAGTATTGTTGTTAATTACATTGTCGGATTCAACATTATCACATCGATTTGCGACCCGTCAACTATTAATGATCTCTCGATTGTCTTTCTACGTAATATCGCCTCTTTCTTATCAATACAGAATTCTCAGTAACAGAAATGTACGTATACACGCTGGATTTATATTTGATATTCGCGTAAGCATCATTGAACGATACAGCGGATCATCATGCTGCGAGAACGGTCCCGGAGTGGAGAACGTGACCGGGTGTAGCAAATAAATTCCGTACGTCGTTCTCAGTCAATAACGAGTTCCCAGTTAGCTCTGATCACAACCGCGGCTACATCGGAAGACTTACATCTCGCGCTAATCGAGTGACTCGCGGATGTCGGAATATACTAGACGAGATTTTCCTCAAGGCATACACGCACAAAGAGAAATATTTTCCAATATTTTAAAAAAAGCTCGATCGTGCAATGTAGAAAGATTTGACATATTTATAAAATTTTTTAATTTGATATGATGAAGACGATCGCTCGGACATAATAGCGAGCATTGGACGCGTAAATTTACAGATCTGAAGATAAAGCGACTCAAAAAATTGCAGATATCTTTTTATTATTCGGAGCAATCTAGTGAATATCGAAAACATCGCTTGAAACAATAAAACCGCTGGTTGTAGATTTGACGTGTATATTCTTTAAAGATCGAAGAAGACATTATACAAACAGATAGTTTAGAAAGTAAACAATTCAACGTAAGTTTATTATGTGTATATATGATGATATTATTATATATCTAGACAAAAAATATTGAAAATAGAAGAGGGAGACGTAATCTAAAACGCCGCGACATATCTAAATAGGATAGTAGTTAATTTATTTCAAGTTGTTCAACGCTTTCGCATCTTTTCAATCGAATTCCAAATCACTTAACGCTCTTATATCTTTTAAATGTGGGCAATCGATTAATAATTATGATGGTTTAAAGTACTTTCCAATACATGATATCGAAATAATCTTATTATCAAGATAAGTATCAGAATTGAATATTGTAAAGATATATAAAAGATTAAATCGACAATGAGAGAGTAAGAAATGCACTAGTAACGAAAATAAAAAAAAACTAATATCTTTTTCTAAAATTGCGAATAACGTTTCGTGAAGAAAAATCACCGAATAGGTTACGGTCGTTATATTATTTAATTGATGCAATTAATTATAGAAAATAAAATTAAATAGAAGAAGACATCATGAACACGGACATTAAGGACACGAACGAACGAACAAACACTAATAACGTGAAAGAACAAACAGATGTTAACAATACGAATGAATACAAGAATATTAAAAATACAAACGAGCATGTTAATAGTGCGAATAGACAAACAGATCTTAACAATGAGGGTTTGCATGTATCAACGTGCATGGAAACCAAGGTATGTACATATTTCCATCAATTAGATGTAATATAAGCCCAAATTTTAAAATGTATATTAATAATGATAAAAATATAGGTTGTTACAAATAAATCTAATAAACATTAAAATTAGCAATAAGACGTCAGATGGTAACATGTAATTCATTTTATTAATAATAAAAAATCCAATATACTCCATCAAAGATGATAATACAAACTATTTTGATCTTCCCCGGTATATAATGTAACTGACTGATAAAGTGTGATAAATATGATAAGTGTGACGCAATTAACGTTATATAGTATAGAGTTGCATGAAATATTTTCAAAGAATTATTAAAGCGCATCGTTATGAAAGTGTGTTATCATGCTTCGTAAAAATCTAGTTAACAATTGATAAGTTAACAATTAAGTAATAATATAAAGTGCTAAAGTGCAGATTTTTCAAAATGGAAGTATGATATGTTTTAAAAAACTGTAATGGTCCGTAAACAAGGATTTTGTGTAAGGTAGGATTGGGTATTGTGAGCATTGCAGGTAATATAAGAATCCTTTAATTTCTGATTTTCTGTGATGCTGGGGTGTAAAAAACACCCCAGATGTGCCTCAGGTTAATAAAATCTTTTTTAATTAATTTTTGACAAAAACATGATGTTTTGAAAATAATTTTTTCTTTTCACGATCCCTTTTCACGATTTTTTTCCGATCCCTTTTCACTTATCGTAAAATATTTTTTGTGCTACGACATTTTCAACTTTCTAACTCAAAAATTCTTTCTTTTTCAATCTTCAAACGACAGATTTAAAAAAATAATAGTTAAAATCGATGCACTACAATCTGAGATACAAGCAAAAGGAAACGTTGGATTAGAAATACCCGTATGTGGATAAATAGGAACTTTTTTGTAATGTGGGTACGGAGGATTAAGAATGGATTTAAAATTTATCGATAACTTCTTAAAGTACAAACTTTACCCTTGAGAACGAAAAAAAGCTTTTAAATATGACTATTTTTCATAAAATTATGTTTACTTGAAGTTATGCAAAATTTTGAATTTTGGTATAAACTATTGCGAATATTGCGATAATTTAGTTGATAAGTGTAATATTACTTTTACATTACTTTTATTTTAATTTTACCTTTTTTATTGTGTATATCATAAATTAGTTATACTCTCTATAGAGCATATATATAAAATAATATACAATATGTACATACAATGTATAATGTTTAAAAAGTACCTACAATATATTTAGATTTATTTTTAAAATAAATTAATTTATATTTAGGTGTTCATAAAAAATGTGTATATCTATATCCGTATTTAATTATATTTTTCTTCAAATAACTATAACTATATCCAGTCATTTAATAAAATGTATTATATTTCTTACAACATTTTATTACTAGTATTGATTATGTGTTATAATTACAGAAGAAAAACATGATAAAACTAACTCTGATGTACTTTAATTTAAAACTTTTATACTATTTATATTAAGGCCGTTGGATCGACGGGTAACTAAACAACAACCAAGCTATGTTGTATGAGACAATATATTTGGAACAAGTACAACAATGTAATTATTTCTTAGAGAAATCCAAATATAGAGAAACCGAGTACGACTTGACGTGGACGAACTTGTGACGAGAGAGAAGAGGAAGAGACGAATATATCTTAAGCGTTCTTAAAGTTATCAGAATAAGGTTTCTCGCTGATAGGCGGCGGCGTTGGAGCGTGCGCGCCACGCGCTGTCAATTTGGAACGTCCATCTCAACAATTTATAGCCTTAAAAATTATATGCGTCAAGGAAATGTATTTATGAATAAAAATTCTATTAATCTTCTTGGTTGCAGATGGAGCCCAACGTCACTGAAGAAAAAAAATGGGAACGAACAGGCACAATCTATCAGGTATGATATAAAATCTTTTTACACTCCTATAAAATTAAAGATCACACATAATTCTCCTTTTTTTTTATTAATTGTTTCCCGTAAAAAACAAAATTTATTTCATTTTAGAGTATATATTATATTGTCTTCACAGATGGAAGAGAGAGAGAGAGAGAGAGAGAGAGAGAGAGAGAGAAAGAGAGAGAAAGAAAGAAATGATTTCACATATTATTTATCAAATCGAAAAGACATAAATTACTTCGCAAAATAACAAGCCCATTTTTCTGACGTTATCAGTCACTGACATAAATTACGAGCCTAACTTTCAGATATTATCAATTATTGCTTCATCAATCTATATTAAAAGCAAATAGCTGCTAAATATGATATTAATTAATTTAGTTTATAATTTACTGCTGAATTAATTTATTTTTGCACGGATAAGGTGATACTGAGTACACATTTAATATGTTTTGGCAATTGAAATATACACATGATTTCGCAATAGATATTCCATTGTTTTAGTCTGTAATTTTTAAGATATTTATGTGGTGGTCCGAGAATTTACGCACTGTTAGATTTTCTGTCAAATAATCTTGGAATTGAGAATAATAAAGATAAAACGTAAATTGAATGACGAAATAGAAACGAGATAATGTAGTACGATTTCCTAGCCAATTCAATTCTCTCTATAATAAATTATGCAGATTGTTAGGAAACGTTCATGTGATTCATAAGCGAGCGTATCACAAAAAAGTTTGCAGATATTATCGTTTTAACCTTGCAGTAACAATCACTTATTAGTTACAGACAATAAGATAAAAGTTACGACAACGTAATGTTAAGAATTAGAGCGTCGGTCGAATTTTTCCGCTCATTGTGCAAAATCTTGAAATTTAGTATTGCCTTTTAATAGGAACTTTTTTTTAAATAGTCTTTTGACGGCTCATAGCTATCAATATTTCTGTAAACTTCATGAAAATAAAGTTTTTAAAGGTAATTGGTACAAGGGTACTATGACAGTTGACAACTGTCTGAATAAAAAATACCTAAGTAAATAATAAATTTATATATTGCATCGAATATTATAAGGTTAATTAAATTTTACAAAATGTTTTGAATTTCAGTCTCATATAATCTCAAAACACTCTGTAAGTTATGAAAGTTAATTTTCTTGTTGAAGTGATTTAAGTAAAGTGCTTTTATTTACATTTGGATACATTTTTTGGTATTCGTTGATAACTTGGATAATAAATTATTTTTTTATTTTCGTCGTAAGTTAATCTGTCATTGTATTCAGTCATCAGTTTGAAACCTCTTTCGGCTGCGTCATTGACCACTCTCAATTTGTTTACTAATTGCAAATCGAACTGGTAATTTTAATCAATTCCACTCAGATACATCGATGTCAAGGAAGGCACTATCAATGCGGTATCTGAATACAATGACAGATTAAATTACGACAAAAATAAAAAACAATTCATTATCCAAGTTATTAATACCAAAAAATGTATCCAAATGTAAATAAAAGCACTTTACTTAAACAGCTTCAACAAGAAACTTAATTAACTTGCATAACTTACAGAGCTTTTTGAGATTATATGAGACTGAAATTTTTCCTTTGGACCGTAATCAAAATTTACGCAGAATAAGCTTATAGCTCATTCAATTCCGAGCAAATTAAAAAAATAATTTCAAAATTGGTTAAGAATTAGAGGATGAATTTTGTTCACAAAGGTGTTTTTCCACATGCGCCGGTGGCACGGATTAAAATGTTCAAAAAATCTGAAAAAAATATGGTGTTAATTTTTCAAGATACTGAACCACCTTGGGGGTGTCCCGATTAAATTTCCAAAATTGTTAAAATAACGACCACCCTAGATTATGTACATGGTGTTCCATTTAAATCGACCACCTGAAATATCTCGCTTATTTTTGATGATATAAAAAAATGTTTTAAATGAAAGGAACGATTTCCAGGGGAACGTATTTTGGTCATGTTTTTTTTTCCAGGTGGAGGCGCTAAAAAGATATGAATGTCACCTCCACTTTTTAAAATGGAATTCTATACACGACTTTTAGCTTACAGTCCGAAGTTGGCGAATCAAAAAACTAGCAAGAAAGTTCTTGAAAAATTAAGTAAAAAGTTATTTGTAAATTTTTATTTTAAGTAATTTTTGTGATATAAAGATTTAAGTACGCGGCTAATGACGGTTATCTTTAAATATTAGGAGAAAGTGGAGGAACTGCGCAGCGGATAATTGTGCGCATCCTGATTTGGTACTTTTCCAATGGATGACGACATTACTGTGGTGAAATTTTTACGCAGGAGGTCGTCCTTTTAAAATATAACTACAAAAGATTCGACGTAAATACGTTGCTCCAGAGAAATATAAAAAAGTGAAATCACATCTTTTCTTGTTATTTTAGCATTCAGAAAATGAGGTGATAAATCCGTATTTTTAATTTATTTGTTTAAAGTTGCATACATTATTAAAGTATATTATTATGTGCGTCTTTTGAGCTATTATTTATTAAATTTGATTAAGAAATGTTGAAGTAATCGTATTTCATATCGAGTCAGGTCGCGGCGGGCAACTGTGCGTAAGCGTTTTGAAATGCGCACAATTACCCATCTTTCATATACTATATGACTAACACTAATTTTTTCGTTTTTTCTTTGCATTATTGTTTTATTTTGCCATTTTATTTTGCCGAAGTCTATGTGTATTATTATTATATTAGTTTTTTATTTTTGCTTAATATATGTAATATATATTTAAAATATATTTAATATATATTTATATTGCAATATAATAAATATATTTTCTAATTTCTTTGTCAACATTCCATAATTCATTCATTTCCTACGACTTTTGCTTTGCGCACAATTACCCGACGCGAAGGGAAATTTTTTCGCTTTTCCGTTTTTTCCTTTTTGCTAAATACAACCTTATTGAATGAAAATCTGTTCAATATGAGGATACATAATGATAGAAGAATGTTTACAGTTTCTGTTTCCATACTTATATCGCTTTGAACTTGGAAAATCATTCCAGGACAATAAATTTCCCTTAGGTGCGCACAATTCACCCACTTTCCCCTAGTGAGTGCAATAATGTGCGGCTCACCAACGCTTACTAATAACGAATTCGGTTAGACGCACTATAGCTAGTACGCTCTAGTGCATGTTAAAACCTTTGTACACTAATTTAATCTGCGTAAAAGTGAAGCGCAAATATTTCGAATTATAAAATACATCTTTTACTTAACAGCAATAAAATGTATTGAGAATTTCATGGTATAATCTATTTATATATTTATAAATTACTAAACACACATTTTTACGTTAATTTGTATACGACAGCTTTAGTGTCCATCAGTGCAAACTGAGTACATCCAATCGAATTCGCTATAATATTATGAACGACTCATGCACAGATTGCCGTCTAAACGTAGTCTATAATTGGTCATATTTAAATCTTTATTATTTTTATCCTTCGTGGTCACACTTCCTGAGAAATTTATGCCGATTACACAGGGAGCAAAATGACCCCAATACATTTAATTGATTGTCATTTCCAGCTTTTGTTCTTTAAAATCACAAAAATTATTGAATATACTTTAAACGTTATAGAACATAGAAATGTAATGGTTTTTTATAGGTTTTAATTTTAATATATAATAAAAAAAGTAAAAGTTCTCTCTCTCTCTCTCTCTCTCTCTCTTGAAAAATGTGTTTTTTATATGAAGAAACATTATTACTATTTTAATTTGTAATATTTTTTGATAAAAATTTATGGCTATATATATATTGTACATATATATATATATTATACTCTACAACTTAATAATTTATACATACTCTACAGGTAGAAACTTTCAGATAAAAAATATTCCGCGTTCCATAAAGGTATTCTGCAGAATAAAGGAGACCATTTTTTTTTAAATAACAGAGTGTGAAGTTATTATATAAAATAGAATTTATATAGTATAAGAATATATATAATTTTTTAGAGCTATAAAGCCTCAAACTGTTTCTGAGTTCCCGTGGATCCCTAGTAACCACGAGGGATAAAAACTGCTTATAAAATAAAAATGTACAAATAACTTTATTTGTTTAATTTTTCGAAAACTCAATTGCTATAATATATTTTGATTTTCGAATTCAAGACACCCTGTACAATAAATTATATGTAATTACACATCTTTTATATCTTTTAAATATAATTTTCTATGGTATACAATTATATGTAAAAAATTTTTTACCGAGCACTTATCTCTGACGTCCCACAAAGTTCTAAATCTTAAGATTAGTAATGATAAGGTATATTCTATCTGTACATTGTATGATTTTCCAAGTTTTATCTTGATATCTTGAAAATATGCATGAAAAACGTTACGTGTTATATTACGTTCAGCCTTTAAACTGATTATGAATATAAAATACCATGATTTTATGTGCATAAGATTTTAAAACGTATGTAATTGCTGGCTGCGCCTTTTTTCATCTTAATGATCATATTCATCCAATTCTAATATTATTCGCATGTGTAATAGCTTCAGTTTGATGCGATAAGAAAATTATTCCGATAAAAAGATTCGATGTTTAATCAACCTTAGCCTTTAATAGTAACTGTGCAATATCTCCCGTATCTAATTGTTCTTCTCGTCATGTTTCGCATTTATAAATAATCTATATTAGTTATACATTTTCTGCTCTATAGAGAAGTTTGCAAAAGCTCTACGAATTATACAAATATTTTCTTTTAAGATTTTTTCGTGTATCGTTACGACATCATCGTCGGTTTTTCGATATCGCCGACTTCTGATTCAAAGCTTTTCTTTATCTCTCACTGCGAACACAAATATTTTTCTTGAACTTTTTTTCGTATTGCTACCATTATGTCGTCGTCGTCAGTTTCTCTATATTGTCAACTGCTGCCTGATTCGCAATTTTTTTTACAGATATTGATAGCCATATGCGCCAATATTGTGGTGTTGGGTCCAGCAATGGGTTTCGGTTACAGCGCTGTAGCAGAATCTGCAATGAGATCAAATAAGACTGATGGTGATTTACAACTTGATGCTAATCAAGCAAATTGGATGGGTTAGCGTCATAAAAAATTCATTCCTTTAATGAATTCTTTGCAATTTTGAATTATTAAAAATAAGTAGTCCTTTGGCAAAAGTCATTATTTCTACTGAAAGTCTTTTTGGCAAAAAACTTTTATAATTTTTCTTATTTAAGCTATCAATAAGACCTTTATTATAAAAAATTATGAAAAGTTTATTGTTTTTATTAAAAACTTTGCAGCTTGAAGAAGAATTTTAGCTCATTTTTAAACAAAACGTCCGCCATTTTTATTGAATGACTGATGGATATAACTGTATTTGCAACAATAAGGATTCAGACAGTTAACTTCTTTTGCACTCTTCTCCTTATATCTAGAGATAATTTAACTTCTTTTGCAATTAGATATACTTTTTCTCTATGATGTACTTTATATTGTAACTGTTTCAAATATTTCTTAAATATTTAATTCAATTCATAACCAAGGAGTTAAAGAATCCAAGGATTGCAATATTTAAAGTTTTAAATATTTTTTAAATATGATAGTAATAAGGCTCAACAAATTTAAAAAAAACGAGGGAAAAAAGGGTTACGAGCCAAAATCTGTCGTTAAAATTTAAAAAGTTAGTAAATAAAACATACAAAATCATTTTAATTTAAAATTTAATAACATATGTCCATTATATTTTTTTAAATTTATTGAACTTTATTACTATCATATTTTAATATACGCGGGCGTAAAAATGCGTTATACTAAGGAATATTCTCAGTTTACTTTTTTCTCTATTAAAAACCAATTAGATATTTTAATTATGTGCTAACATTGAGAATGAGGATCGAAACGTTTGTTTGTTTATAATTGACATATGTTATTAAATTTTAAATTCTGACTATTTTGTATATTTTATTTACTAACTTTTTAAATTTTAACGACAGACTTTATCTTGTAGCCTTTTCTTTTCTCGTTTTTTTAAAATATTTTTAATTATAGCTGCTTTTTTGCATTTAAGCTACACAAATAAATTTTAGTTATTAAAGTAAAAAATGATTATTATATTTGTGCAATAGCTACTGTATCGGCATTGGGTACACCTATTGGTTGCCTACTCTCGAGTGTCGTGATGGGACGAGGAAGAAAGACCAGCATGTTCGTGACATCACTGATCTCAATGGCGGGCTGGGTGATCATTTACATGTCAAACAGTTACGTACAAATCTTAGTTGGAAGATCAATTTCCGGAATATCCACTGGCATGGCGTCGGTCCCGACGACGGTGTATGCAGCGGAAATAGCGGGATCGAAATGGCGAAGTTCGATGGTTACATGGACCAGTATCTCTATTGCTCTCGGTGTTCTCATTGTTTATATCTTCGGGTATATTTTTCAGGTAAATGTTCACAAACAATAAGCATAATAATGCACAATTAATATCAAATTAAAACAAAACCGCAATATAAATAACACAAATAAGTAAGAAGCACCAAATACGGTCAAATGGAGCTTGATATTTAATAATATTTTTATGTAAATTTCAAATACATATTTCAATTAAATAAACTGCATGCTGATTACTGTCAGATTTGCTATCATAAAACGAAGCTGAAATAATAATATCTCAAAATAATTAATTGTCAATTTAATAATGATGCTAATAAGCATCTTGTAACATTGCAAAGAACTCATTGTAAAAAATATCACCAACCAGGGTCGTCTTTTTCAATTTGACCAAGGCACATAGTAATATTTGTTGCAATAATCAATATATATTAATGCATAATTGTTCTCTCTCAAAGGACAATTGGCGAATGGTGGCTTTAATGTGCGCTCTATTTCCATTGTGCGCGATCGCCCTCATTTTACTCGTGATACCCGAGAGTCCTTTGTGGTTGAGGGATCGAAATCGGCCCGATGAAGCGCTGGAGATCATGAAAAAGTTTCGCGGAATACCAAAGGATCAGCCAGCACCGGCGGAAGTCTTGTTTGAACTAAAACCGCGTCCGCAGAAGAAGAATCAGAACACGCTGAAACATTTGATGAAAAGGAGCTCTCTAGTACCATTCGGCGTAATGCTCAGCTTCTTCTTTTTCCAACAATTCTCCGGGATCTTCGTTGTCATATACAACGCAGTTGGAATCATGGCTAAATCTGGTGTTAAAGTAGATCCTTTCCTTGGAGCAGTATTGATAGGTATCGCTCGTTTTATAGCCAGCTTCTTAATGGCCGGTGTGTCCCGAAAATTCGGTCGACGAATACCGTCGATGATTTCCGGCATTGGGATGACGATCTTCATGGGAGGCTTGTCACTATATCTGTTCTTAGCTGAAAAGGGAACCGTCATGGCGGACAATGGGGTAATCCCGGTGATTTGCATGGTGATGTACATATTCACAAGCACTTTGGGTTTCCTGGTGATACCGTTCGCAATGATAGGCGAAGTGTTTCCGTCCAAGGTTAAAGATATATTGTCCGGCATGACGGCCGCCATAGGTTATCTCTTCAGTGCGATAACCGTTAAGACGTATCCAGATATGGCAAAGCTGATGAACATGTATGGCGTGTTCCTTTTTTACGCGATCATGTCTTTAATCGGCGCAATATTCATCTTATTATTCTTACCTGAGACAAAGGGAAAGACTCTACGCGAGATCGAGGACATGTTCTCGACGAAAAAAAAGGCCTTCGAATTGTAATCCATGGAAGGGATAGTCGAAGAAGTATTAAGTTATTCCGACGGTCATTACGTCGGTCTTCTAAGAAATTGAGAATTTATTGCTTATGTTAGTATACCCGATGAATACAAAAAAATTTGTAATTAAGTAAGTCCAAATTGTATTTATTCAAAATTTTTACTTAAAAAAAATGTGATCACATATCCTTTCAATATTTTAGATTTTCAAAAAATATTTATTCATAAAAAACTATAAATATTTAACAAATATTCATATTCATTCAGATAAAATATAAACTGAAAAAGAAAGCTCCATTAAGCAATCGTTACCCCTTAACTGTAATCGGCGCTTTGATGACTTTAAGTAAAAAAATTGATTTTATTTAATTTTGTCATTGTAATATTCAGATCTTATGAAGGAAATTTAAAAATTTTGAAAAATATTTTAGAAAGCAATAATTTTTTTATTTATAAATATCTATTTGATAGTGCGCCATACATATTTCGATATAATTCCGGTTACATCACAATAATGTTATAAACATTTTATGAGATACTTTGGGCGCGTCGTTCATTATGATCTGTGGACATTAAATTCCAAAATATATTATAATATTTATTCTCAATAAAAATGTCTTTGTTTAACCTATAGGTTAAACAAAGACGCTCATCGTATAGGTCGCGGACTAAGCGCACGGTGTAATCGTAGCTATTGTTTTTTATAGATTTCTGTTTTCTCTTGCAGCCTTGCAAGTTATGTGCAGATAATAAAGAATAAAAATGAATACGAAACGAAAATATTAATTCGTAATCATACTAAAAAAATATTCATTCAAACGGAATAAAAAAGTATTTATTCGTTCCTTGACGAATGAAAAAGAAATATATTCGAAAGAGTATTTTCAATTATTTTTTTACTCATTTATTCGAATATTAGATGTATTCACCGAACACACTAGCTTATGAGGACAAACTGTCAAGAGAAGATAATGTTAAATGCACGATGGTCGAAACGTACGTCTGTACGAACATTAAGGTGCCTCTACATAATTAGCAAATCACAAAACATAGTTCACAAACGCAAACACAGAATGAAAGTTGTTATTTATTTTTTCATTGCGTGCGATTGGTTTTCAACTGCGTGTATCTTGCGTGCGGTAATCGTCATTCTGCGTCAATATTTGCAAACTACGTTTTGCGATTTGCGAATGTATGTAGAGGCACCCTAATGCCTGTGTCGTACTACGGAGACTGAGGATTGCGGATTGAAGATTAGAATTCAGCCAATTAGGACGGATTAAGATTAAAATTATCTGATTGGTCAAATTCTAATCCTCAATTCGCAATCTTCAATCTCCAATGCGTAACGTAACACGGGCACAAGACTGTCGATGAAAAGAATAAAACAAATGCAACGTCATAATGCTTCAAGAAATCATTTAAAAGATATTTAAAGAGTACATCGAAGTAACAAGACATCTCTTATATGCATTAAATTTATTCTAAATACGTTATACGTAGAGATTTCTTATCATATATTTCGCAAAGGAATTAAAGAAGGTATAATACGTAAAGATATTTGTTTAGAGCTCACAAAGAGAAATAAAACGTAATACGATGAAACCGTGTTGTCATCTCGATAAAATCACATCGATCTTTGTCATTGCGAAAATAGTGCCATATATTAGTACTTAGATCTGTACTGCAAAATGTGTTCACAAATTTTATTGTAATGAAAGTAGGGGAGACCATGGTCAGTAAACTATAGGAGTAAGTAGAATAATCGAGGCTACATTACGAATAAATCGCGCGAGACACGCGTAACCCCGTCTGAGCACGCAGCAGCGACTGCCGCTCAGTCTGCTGTAACATTTCATGACAACACATCTATGATAAAAGTTACGCTACAATTTTAAAAAATCGTACACCTAAGTAAACATTTTTATTCTTAAAGTTTTTGTTTTACAATCGTATATAATTGTCTAAGACATTTTATTTCCATTTAAATAGTAAGCATATAGTTCTTACTTAATAAAGTCCAAGATTTTTTTTGTTTATCTGTCTTTGTTATCGTATACTGTTGATGTTTTTAAAAAATGAACGGATGGAGCTAATATGCCATAATAATCATAATATGGGGCTATATGACTAATTTAGTGACGTTCTAATAGTATCTACTCCCAAACTTCTTGGAATGAAATCTCACTCTAAAAGAGTGAAAATACAGTCAGTTTTGAAAAAGAGTGGCAATATTCCATTCCTTTAAAGAGATTTATCTCAGTGGTAAATGTTATAAGTTTAGTTCCCTCACGTCCAATCTCGATGAAACTAGGCTTATTCGATGTGTTTTTGCATGAAAGAAACGAATTTAGCAAAAAGAAGCATTGTTCTGCCTTGTAAATCGAAATATTAATCGTTAAAGTTTGTTAAGTTAGAAAATCTGTCATTCACTACGCCCTGATAAAAACGTTGATAGAGAACGATAGAAAAATTCTATCGTTTTGAAAATGAAATTTGGTTCGTCAATTCACTAATTTGAATCAAATCTTATAGAAATCTTGTATAAATCTTACAAAATCCGATAAAACACGATAGGATTCATATCCTATCAATCGTGATGCTCGCGAGGTCAACGATAGAAAATGATATAAACTTATAGAAAACGATACAAATTGATAGAAATTCTATCGTTCTCAATCATTCTCTATCAACTTTTTTTACCAGTAATAATAGTTAAATTACATGTATAAGAAATTTTTCATGCATGAATATGTA